CGGAAGGCGAAACCTGGAGTTTTGCATCGCCAGGTGAAGCCTCGGGAGCAGCAGCACTTGGAGATCTTCTTGAGTGGCAACGCCATCGCGAACCCCACGGCCATCATGGGGAGTAAAAGACAGGAGTGGGCGCGTGTTTGGCAGCCGCGTGAGACTAAGCAGCAGATCCTGGATGCTCTGAATAAGGCTCGACTTCGGGTTCGAGAGGACCCTCCTGCGGCGATCTCTCTGGGCGACCTCCAACGCGCACTACACATCATGCCAGGTTTGAATCCAAAGCAGTTGATATGATCGGACCTCGTGACATGCGACGACTACCTGAGAAAGCGTTGCCAATACACGGGCCTAGTCTGCCTGATAGAGACAGCCTGCGATAGCATCAATGGCCCTCCCTGAACCAACGGGCGGTTCGACTAGTCACAAGGGCACCATCTCGTTAATGGGGGTACGGGACCTGTCTGGCCTCCCCCCTCGTCTCATCTCCCTAAGTAGCTGCAGGCCGTGATGCCCACCTTCGTCGAACCTAGTGGTGCTGAGGTCAACCATCCGTACCTTGCCGATACCTCTTGGATGTTTTTGCAGCCTCAATGCTCTGCGGTGACGGCGCTTCCGAGACCAACGGGAGACCAATTGGAGGAGGAGGAGGAGGAGGAGGAGGAGGAGGAGGAGACGAGGAGGAGGAGGAGGAGGAGGAGGAACCCGAGGAGGAGCCGGAGGAGGGGGATGAGAAAATAAAGGAAGATGAGGAGGAGGAGCCAGAGGAGGGGGAGGGGAAGGGGGAGGAGGACGAGGAGGAGGAGGAGGAGGAGGAGGAGGAGAGAAGAGAAAGAGAAAGAGGAGGAGGAGGAGAAGGAGGAGGAGGAGAGGAAAATGGAGGAGGAGGTGGAGGGGGATGAGGAAGAGACGGTAAAGGAGTTGGGAGGAGCAAGGAGGAGGAAGAGGAAAAGGCGGAGGAGGGAGGAGGAGGAGGAGGAGGAGGAAAAGGAAGAGGAGGAGGGAGGAGGGAGGAGGGAGGAGGAGGAAGAGGAGCAGGAGGAGGATGATGATGAGTGTGATGAGGAGGGTGAGGAGGAGGGGGAGGAGGAGGAGGGGGAGGAGGAAGGGGAGGAGGAGGAGGAGGAGGAGGAGGAGGAGGAAGAGGAGCAGGAGGGGGCGCCCGCGCGATGGCGGCGCCAGGACCGGGGAGCTCTCCGAGATGCTGCAGTCGCATTCTGCCGCCCTGGCGGGCCCGGAGCCCCCGCGGCACGCAGGTGCCGACGGCCGCCGACCGCTCGCGCTCGTGGCGACGGGTTCGACAGGCTCGGGGCTCGAGGATCGAGGAGGATCGAGGCTCGAGGCTCGAGGAGGAGGGAGGAGGATCATCCTCCTCCCCCCTCCTCCCCACCCCCCCTCCTCATCCTCCTCGCCCAGGGGGGGGCTGAGAGCACGCGCCCACGCCACGCGCCGCGCGCCCGAGGCGTGGGGGCGGAGGTTTGCGCCAGGGCGCCGTGCCGGGCGCATCGCATGCGCGTCCACAGACATTCTACTCCAGGCCTCCTAGAATAGCGCGTCTGTGGAGGAGGAGGAGGACGAGGAAAGGGACGAGGAGGATGAGGACGAGGAGGAGGAGAACGAGGAGGAGCAGGACGAGGAGGACGAGGAGGAGGAGAAGGAGAGGAAGGAGGAGGAGGACGAGGAGGACGAGGAGGAGGACGACGAGGAGGAGGAGGGGGAGGAGGAGGAGGAGGGCGAGGTCCTCTGGGTCACCCGCGGGGGCGCGAGGGTGATGCAGTGCTCCAGGCCTCCTAGGTGGGGTCGGAGTAGGCGGGGTAGGAGGATCGCGCCGCATCGCGGACGCATCGCCGATGCGGCTCGATGTGGAGCCCGGTTTGCTTCACGTCGATGTCGCCGATGCATCGCATCGATTGTGCATCTCCCATGCATCGCAGCTGTAGCGGCGATGCGGCGCGACCCCCCGACCCCCTCTACTCCGACCCCATCTGGGAAGCCTCTAAAGTTACCGTCAAGGCGTTTGGATGAGGGCCGCCCTGGGCTCGGGCAGGGCTCCGGGCTTCCGGGTCGTGCCTCGGGATCAGAAGAGCTCCTCGGATCCTCGCTCGTCCAGCGCTCCTTCTGGTCGCACGACGGCTGCACGTGCCCGCCGCCAGTGCCAGATCGACGATCGCCCGATCCACCAGTGCCAGTGCGGGCAAGGTTTTATATCCATATCCAGTGCGCCTTCGGTTTTTGTTGGAAGGGGCGCCACAAGGCCGAGGTGCACTGGACATGGATAAAAATCAAGCCTCTAGGGGGCAAACTTATCCATATCCAGTGCGCCTCGGGCTTCTGGGGAAGGGAGCCCGAAACTCCATACTGAAGTGGATATGGACAGAAGTGCTGCTCGCAGCCAGTGCTGAAAATCTGGAGGTGGTGCTTCTCCTGGAGGCGCCTTGCCCGTCGCAGTCGCAGGCTGCCTCTGCCCCCGCCGACGGCACGCAGGCGGCGCAGCTCCCAGGGGCGCCGAGCGCCCACGCGGACGCCGACGAGCCGTCGGGGCTCTCGAGGTCCTCGGACGCCTGCGTCGGTTCGCGGCGGCCTTCCCTCGAGTGCTCGTCGGCCACGCTCGGAGGAGGAGGAGGAGAAGGAGGAGGGAAAGGAGGAGGAGGACTAGGAGGAGGGGGAGGAGGAGGAGGAGGAGGAGGAGGAGGAGGAGGAGGAAGAGGATACTTAGTAAGAGAATATGGCATACCTCACCCTCGCACCAGTCCGCATGACCCTCACTGCGACGACACATCGTTCCACATGACTCTCACTGCGACGGCCTCTGTCAGGAGGAGGAGGAGGAGGAGGAGGAGGAGGAGGCGGAGGAGGAGGAGGAGGAGGAGGAGGAGGAGGAGGAGGAAGAGGAATGAGGAGGCCCCAGGGCGGGGAGCGCCGAGGACGTGGAGGAGGAGGAAGAAGAGGAGGAGGAGGAGTCAATTAGACGCAGCGGAGGAGGAGAGGGAGGGAGAGGAGGGCGAGGAGGAGCCGGACGAGGTCGAGGAGGAGGAGGCGGAGGAGGCGGCGGAGGCGGAGGAGCCGCGGCCTGCCCCGGGCGCGGGGCTCCCGCCGGGGGGCGCGAGCTCTCCCGCGCGCGCGCGCGGCAGGCGCGGGCGCGGCGGCGGCGGGCCACGGGCCGGGCGGCGACGGCGGCGCCGCGGAGGCGGGGCGGCCCCGGGGGGGGGGCGAGCAACCCCGGGGGGGGGCCGAGGCCTCTAATTGTGGAGGGTCCCGCCGGGGCCCGGTGACGAGCCCCTGGTCGCAAACCGATATTCGGGTCTCTCCTGGGGTGCTTTCTGCACAGATAATGTCGAAGCGTACTCCGCTCGGTGTGCCACGCTGGCGGCCCGCGCAGGACACCGCGTGCTGCTCGCTGTCGTGAGGTCGCTGTGGCGTCGTGCGTAAGAAAGTCCCGGTTCTTTTCGTTACTGAGGCAGTTGAGGCCGCCGCCTTCCGAAAGGGAGGCGCGGAGGGAGTCAGGGGCAACGTGTGGGGGGGGAGGGGCCCAAGAGGGGGAGGGATGACTGGCTGGATGTCATGGCGGTGGTCATGACATCTCCCTGGGGTTCATGGCCCCCTCCCGTGTTTCGACACGTCCCTGGTCCCCCACCCGTCCGCGCACATGCCTCCGGCCATGATTTGTTGCGAACCTTCTTGGTCGCCCCCGAACGTTAGGATGGGGTTGGCTAAGGGGGGATGCATCGACCCCCACTCGCCGATTGCTCGCAGACAGGGGCCTGATAGCCCCACCCCGCCCCAGAGCGTGCGGATTCGCTATCGGAGGCCCATCGCCGATCTATCCGCGGTGTATCGCCGATTCCAGCTCGATGTTCCCCCCCCCCTCGCCCTCAGCAAGACCCCCCCATACCGTTCACCCTCAGACAAAGAGAGAAGGCTCAGGAGTGGGCGATCCCAGTTTCGGGGCCACTGCCGTGAAACAGATGGACCGGTGGCAGCGCTCCTCCTGCCCCAGCAAAGTCAGTTGGGAAAAAACGCAGACACAATTAATCGTCCACTCCCAGAAAAATATGGGACAATCTCGGAAGTGGTAGGGAAGACAAAAACCCAGAACATATGGGAAAATATGGGGAATCCTTTTATTTGTGTCTATTTATTTGTGTGTTCCAGGACCCCTTCATTCAGAGATGTCCGAGGAAAGGGCTTGCCAAGGTCTAAGAATTCACAGGGCAGGGAGAATGGGCTCCCACGCAGATGTGCTGGTCACTCTGCTGTTGGAAGGCCCCTGCAGAGGGATGTGTGGCCCTGTGCGCAACTGCTCCCTGTGACAACGCCAGTGGCGGCCTTCTGCACTGCCCGTGTTTCCTGCTCGTTCATCTACTGATGTGTGTGCCATCCAGAGCTTGCCTTGGCATCGTTCGGACGTTTGCATTGTATCTCGGCTGGGGCCATCGCGGGGCATCCTGGGCCACCTAGCGAAAAACACGCGCGCGAAACCGAAAAATTGATCGGGAATGGGCGTCCGAACGACGGCGAGTTGCACCCTTAGGGGAACGAAGAATGACACAAAGAGAATAACTCGGAGGTCCGCGCGGACGTTCTCGGATCGGCGCTGCACCCCCCTCCTTGGCGCGCGGAGCGCGCCAGGGGCGGCGCCGGAGGCGCCGCCAGGGGGTCCAGCGCGGATCCAAGAAGTCCGCGCGGACCTCCGAGTTGTTATCTCCATGCCGTCCTGCGCTCCCTTAACTCACCACCCACCAAACCACCCCAACCCAACCCGAAGGCTCAGATTTACCCTCGATTTCTAGTGGGGGGGGGGTCCGGGAACATCGAAAAAACACATGTGGAACCCGTACCCCCCCAACCCGAAATTCGGGTCTTCGGGTTGGGTTGGGGTGGTCTGGTAGGTAGTCATTCACCCTCGCCAGGCGGCCCCGGTCCGCCAGGCCTGCGCTCGTGGCGGCAGCGCCCCGCGTGCTGGGGGGGGGGCGGGGGCGCTCCGGCCGCGCGGGCCGCCGCCGCTCGGCTCGAGGCAGGGCCCCCCCAGTGGCCCCCTCAGGAATGCAGGAATGAAGCTCGCGTAGCTGCGGGGCAGGCGACCCTCGGGGAAGCCCAAGGCGTGAGTGCCGCCGGACCGGGGCATCATCGGGCAGCGAACGATGACAGAAACATGAACAAGCTCGGAGTGCCGCGCGGAGTCCTCGGATCGGCGCTGGGGACCCCTGGCGGCGCCTCCGGCGCGGATCCAAGGACTCCGCGCGGACCTCCGAGTTTTGTTCTTGATGCCATTTGTCGCTCCCCTATAGAAGGCCGAGGTCGGTTCGGGGAGAGTGTCCTAGTGTTCTTCGTGATCGTGGGATGCTCTTGTGCATCCTGGGAAGGGTAACCCTCAGATGTTCTGTGTGTGTTTTGGCCCGGCGGAGGGTCTCATGCCCTTGAAGGGCTTGCTTCTGTCCCAGGTCCGACCGTACGCCAGAACTCGGGTTTGCCGACGCTTTCTGACGAGCGCGTCCTGGATTTTGACGGTCCAGTTTTCGTGGGATGCCTGCAGCGGGAGCGCTCGCGTCAGATGTCAGGTGGGGTCGCGTCATTTTCATGATGGCCCCGACAGGCCAACCCGAGTCCCCCGAACCCTGAGATCCGACGTTGCAAAACATGCAACATCGTAAAAAGCACGCCCGGAGCCCCAGACCGCATCGTTCCGCGCCATGTTTCGAGCCAGCTCGATCCGTGAGGGTCCTGGGGCCCGACGTTGAGCGAACACGCCCGCTGTGGGAAAAATGCGACGCCAGGATCCCAGGGAGCCCGAGTCTTGCGTCTCCCCGAGCCCTCCGTACCGAACCCACCGCCCGCATGCTTCTGGCGGCGCTGGCGTGCGCCGCGGCGCTGTGCGGCGGCGCCGCGCCCGTCGCCTCCTCGGGCCCGGCGCTGCTGCAGGCTGGCGCTCGGGCGCGGGCCGCGGCGGGGAGCTCGGCCCGGCCCGGCCGGAAGCCGAAGCGTAGCTTCAATTTGCACGCCCGAAATGGGTACTGAAAGAATGGGTACGATGCCCAACAGCAGTTCCTGTTCATTTTGAACAGGCCTCGCTGTCCACGCCGCCGCGGCCTGTGTCCATTCGAGACAGGAGGCCGCCTGCCCAACAGCGGCCGCTGTTGCTTTGGGACAACATTTGTTGTTGGGCATCGTACCCATTCTTTCGTTACCCATGTCGGGCGCCCAAATTCAAGTCGGGCATGGCCTTCTACACGAGGAGTGAATTAAATGACACCAGAGAAAAACCCCAATCAGCATTGGCTCAGGCCTCTTAGGTCCATAAGGCTACGAGGCTACAGGGCTGTAGGGCTACAACGGCTATAGGGCTGTAGGGGCTATATGAGCTATATGGGCTATAGGGCTGTTGTGCAATAGGGCTGTAGGGCTATTGGGCTATAGGGCCATAGGGCTCTGCGGCTATAGAGCTATAGGGCCAATAGGGCTACAGGGCCAAAGGGCTATAGGGCTACAGGGTGTTTGGGCACCCACCCGGGCACCCACCCGGGCACCCCCGGGCACCCTCGGGCACCCCCGGGCACCTCCAGGCACCCCGGGACACCCCAGGGCATCCGGGCACCCCAGGGCACCCCAGGGCACCTAGGCCCCCAGGCCGGCCACCGAAATCGGCGGCCCACCTCAGCTAACCACATGAATCCGCTAGGGCCCCTACACTACAAGGCCAAGCCCCATATTGGGGAAATAGTCAAAACATAATCTGGGGTCGATTGTTCCATTGTTTTTGAAAAACTGTTCCGCGTGTGTGGGCTATTTCTCAGTATTCCTCAGAACTCCGCCTGTACAGGCCCGACCTGAGACTAGCCATGGGCTTGGCGTCGCGCGGGCGAGTGCCTTCTTCTCTCGTCGGGGGCAGTCGGGGAGCCTCCTGGATCCTCTGTCGGCGGCGAGCAGAAAGGGGGGGGAGGCGAGAAGGAGAAGGCCTCCTCCGAAGGCCGCGGGACTTCTCCGAAGCTGCCCTCGCACATGCGGAGGGGTTTGCTGTGTCCTTCGGGGAGGGCTCCGAGAATCTTTCAGAAGGCCGGGCGACTTCCGGGCCTTCTGACGAGGCCCGCCCCTTCGCACCTCCCCCGCGGGCGCGCCGTCGAAACGAGCGTCTTGGATCGGGCCGGACGAAAGGGGGGGATTGGGAAAGGAGGGGTTACGAAATCTGCTGCATGCAGCTGGTTTCGGCCCCGCCGCCGGGCCCATTCCTCGATATACGGGCGCCTCCCGGGAAAATCAGCTACGTGAGCTGATTCTCCAACCCCCCCTTTGCTATCCCCCCTTTCGCCCGACCCGAACCTCCCCCGCGGGCGCGCCGTCGAAACGAGCGTCTTGGTGCGAGACGAAACAGCACGCACGAAACCGACAGATGCACGGGGAGCGGACGTCCGAGCGACGGCAGGCCGGCCCCCTGCCGTGATGTGATCGGGGGGGGGGGACGAGCTTCAAGCAGCGGCGAAGCGTCCTGGCTCGCCTATAGCCCCACCAAACAAGGTTCTAAGAGCCTTTTGTGGTTTCCACGGAATGTTCTTAGAACATTTCCGGCGGAGTCCGCCCTGTTTGAACAAATGGGGTTTATGTTCTAAGAACATTGTTCTTGTTCTTGGATCATTTCTGGGGTTCCAAGAACATTTCGTGGTAGGACCATAGGAATGCCGGGACGGTCGGTCCCTGCTCAAGAGCTCTCCCGCCGCCCTTCCCCCGATCACGCCCGCTGTCGCGCATATTGAACAATCAGGCTCCCGGGTCCTAGGTTTATGATGCTCCAGCCTACTGTAGCCTTGACCACCAGGAAGAATTTCGAGCACCTGAAAAGTACCCCAAAACTCGAGGGTTGTCACGTGCCGGGCCCTGGGAGACACTGTTTCGACTCTCTTTCGACACTCCTTTGTCACTTTTCCGGGTGCTCGAAATTATGTTTGGGATGTGGTCCCGAAGGACGATGGGAGCAACATAATCCTGGGTGCCAGTCGGGGGCCCCATTCGTGGCCAGGCGAGCCCCCCTCCGCTCCTGAGTCGGCGCTCCCTGTTGCAGCACGCTGGCCCGACTGGGCTCAGGGAGGGCGCGGGGGGGCCAAGCGTCGGGCGAGGTGGACTCTGCCATCCCGGCGTCCGTTCGCAGCTGTCTAACTCCAGGGGCCGTCTTCGGCGAGCTGGACTTTGCAATCCCGGCGTCCGTTCGCAGATGTCTAGCTCCAGGGGCCGTCTTCGGGCCTCGGGGCCACCAACAACGGTGTCTGGGAGCCAGCGAGGCCCTCGGGGCCGGGGTCGAGGCCTTCGGGGCCCGCGGGTTGCAGGAAGGATTGCGCCGGAAGCCCGGGGGCCAGGGCATGTGGAGATGAGATGTCCTTAATTCGGGGGCGGCAAAGAGGGGGGTGATGACTAGGGGGGGGGGGATATCATGGCGGGGGGCATGATATTTCCCCAGATTTCATGGCGCCTCTTCTTATTTCGTTACGTCCCTGGCCCCCCCGCTGGGCCGCTGACATGCCGCCGGTCATGATTTGCACCCCCCCTCTTGGACAACCCCCCTCTTGGCCGCTCCCGAGTCCTGAGCCCGAAGCCCCTTGTCCTATGATGTTCCAACTTGCTTCAGCCTTGACTGCCAGAGATAATTTCGAGCACCGAGAAAGTACCGAAACTGGGTGGGGGGCCACGTGTCGGGCCCTGGGAGGCGATACTCGTTCGACGCTGTTTCGATATTTCTGTGGGTGCTCGAAATTTGTTTTGGGATGTGATCCGTGAGTTTGTCCTGTATCCCTGCCGGGCCAGCTCCCCAGCAAGATGCTGTGTCGCCAGCGTGGGCGCGGAGATGATCGCGCGTCGCGGCCTTGGCCGGGGAGGTGCCCCTCTCCAGGGAGGGGGGGCCCTCGCGGGGGCGCGAAGACAGCCGCGCACCGCCGGGCGCGAGGCGCGAAAGCCGGGCGACCCAGGACACGTTGCACGATCGGCGAACGTAGCCGTGTCCACCCCTCGCGGTCCTGTCAGAGCCCCGAATCATCACGGGTCAGGGCTAACTCGGGTTCCTTTTTCGGGATTCCGAACCCGAGTTACCCCGGGCCCGAGGTACCCCGGGTAGTTCGGGCGTCCAGGGCCCCGAATCATCAGGGGTAATTCGGGTCAGGGCTAGTTCGGGTTCGTTTTTGCGGGGATTCCGAACCCGAGTTACCCCGGGCCCGAGGTACCCCGGGTAATTCGGGCGTCCAGGGCCCCAAATCATCAGGGGTAACTCGGGTCAGGGCTACCTCGGGTTCCTTTTTGCGGGGATCCAGACCCGAGTTACCCCGGGCCCGAGTTCCCCCGGATATCTCGGGCGCCCAATCCTGGACTCCAGGGCGCGATCCTGTGCACACGCGGTCGCCTGGGCGCGGGCTCCGCTCGGGGCGCTCGCGAAGAGACGGTCCCGCAGCCGCGGGGGCGCGGCCCAGGGGGTCGGCCTGCGAGGCCGCGGATGATTACGGACAGGTGCTCCGCCTGCGGATATACAGTCGGGGCCCTGAAGAAGGAACCCTTTTCGTTGGGGAGGGGCTCCGTGTTCCTTAAGTGTCTCACCGTTTGCCTCGGGCTTTCCTTATTCCTGATGTTTTCGACAGGAAGTCGAAGGTTAACTTAGGGAAAAAAGGGGCCTCGTTCCTTATTTAAGGTTCCTTTGGTCAACGCCCCGACTGTATATCCAGCCCGCCAAGGATGCGGGCAATACTTCTATCCATATCCAGTGCGTCGTGGACTTTCTTGGAAGGGGCGCCGCAAGGCCGAGGCGCACTGGATATGAATGACAAGCCTTTTCGGGTCAGATTTCAGTCCATGTCCAGTGCGCCTCAGGTTTTGGGGGAAGAGAGAGCCCGAAACTCCAAGACGCTCTGGATGTGGATATAGACATTGCCCGTAAAGGAGACCCAGCCTTCGGATGCAACTCCTGGGAGGTCAAATTCTGATGTTGCCCTGGTCCGAAATCCGGTTCAATCTGGCCTCATCCCGCGCCATCCCGCTTCATCCGGTTTGATCCCGCTTAATCCGGCTTAATCCCGCTCAATCCGAGGACCACTCTGGCGCAACAGCCCCGCAACGGGGCTTCATCCTCAGATCTTGCCGACGAAGACCTCCCGGCAGATGCTTCCGAACCAGCCGCAGAGGTCCCGAGCCCAGAGGTCCCGGCCCCTTCCCCAGGGGGTGGCTCTTCGTCCCGGGTCCGTGTTTGGCGGCCACGCGGCCCGATAACGGCACCCGGACTGAAGGCCTTCTCATCCCAGTGAAGCACCTCCACCGATAGCAACAGCTGTGAAGAGGCGGGTCGAGGGGGAGGAAGTCGTCGGAAGGTTCGCTTCATCTTAAAGTCGCCATCGGCGCTTCGTGTCTTGCGCTGTCTGGGGTTCCTGGTGCAGCGCTCTTGTTTGTGCCAGACGCCGTGGAGCTTAGGCTTTGGCTCAGCGCCTCGTGCGTTCCTGTCGAAGGCTGTTCCCTGTCTTCCCTGCAGTTGTCGCTCCTGCTCTCCCCTTCTCGCCGCAACCTCCATCGGTGGGGCGGGGGCCCGAAGTGGCTCCCCGTGCGCAGAGCCGACGGCGGCAGGGAGGGCGCCCCGTGGCATCGGTCCGACGCCGGTGCGGAAGACACGCCGGAGAGAGCCCACGGTTCCTGATTTTCCAGGAAAGGGCTCGAGCCCAGGGTTCTCTTATAGAGGTTTACCCCCGGTTTCGACGGCTGTAGGGCCGGCGAAATTATTCTGCGATGAATTACGTGCGGGAGTAGGGCCGGCGGAGTTATTTTTGAGGATGTCCCTAGCGAAACGCTTGTTTTTCAGAATTTGTTGAGGATGTCTCTAGCGAAACGCTGGTTTTGCAGAGTTGGGGATGTCTCAAGCGAAACGCTTGTTTTCAGAATTTGTTGAGGATCTCTCGAGCGAAACGCTGGTTTTGCAGAGCTGACCGCGACTCGGAAAAGCGCTCCGTGCGCAGGAATTCCGAGGATGTCTCGCGCGTGCAGGGATTTCGAGGATGTCTCGACTAATTCGCTTGTTTTGCCAGGATTTCTTTGGATTTTGACAGCATGTCTCTAGCGAAACGCTTGTTTTTTCAACATTTGTTGAGGATGTCTCGAGCGAAACGCTGGTTTTGCAAAATTGGGGGATGTCTCGAGCGGGGGCCTCGTGGGGGGCTTTGTGGGGTGCCAGAATTCAGAGGATTTCTCAGGCGAAATGATTGTTTTCACGTCCCGCCCGCAGGAATTCCGAGGAGGTCTCGCGCGTGCCGCGTCCCGCGCGCAGGAATTCTGAGGATGTTGGCATGATGTCTCGAGCGAAACGTTTGTCCCCAGCTTGTTCCGTAGCGCGTCCCCTTGGCACGTCCCGCGGTGCGTCCCCATGGCACGTCCCTTGGCACGTCGCTTGGCGGGTCCCTTGAGACGTTCCGCGTCGCGTCCTCCTTGCATGTCCCCCTGTCAATTAGCTCTGGGGCAGCTACTATGTGCTGAGGCAGCTCGAGCTTAAGATCCAGATCAGTTCGGTCAGGACTCGGATGCAAAGGAGGACTCGATCCACGAGGCTATAGAGCACAATCGAGGCATAACACATCGCAATCCAGCACGGCGCAGCACAGCACAGATTTCGGCACGGTACATCAAGATCGATACACTCAGCATTGCCACTTGGCACGTCCCTTGGCACGTTCCGTGGGGCGTCCCTTGGCGAGTCCACCTGGAACGTCGCGCGGCGCGTCCCCTGGCACATCCCGTGGCACATCCATTGGCACGTTCCGTAGCGCGTCCCCTTGGCACGTCCCGCGGTGCGTCCCCATGGCACGTCCCCTGGCACGTCGCCTGGCGCATCCCTTGGGACTTTTCGCGGCGCGTCCTCCTGGCATGTTCCCCTGTCAATTAGCTGTGGGGCAGCTACTATGTGTTCAGGCAGCTCGAGCTTAAGATCCAGATCAGTTCGGTCAGGACTCGGATGCAAAGGAGGACTCGATCCACGACGCTATAGAGCACAACCGCGGCATGCCACATCGCAATTCAGCACGGTGCAGCACAGCACAGCCCTCGGCAGGGTACATCAAGATCGATACACTCAGCATTGCATTTGCCCGTCACCCAGTCAGGTGTCTTTGAAAACGTTGCCATGTGTTACGGTTCTATATTCCTTTCCGGGTTCGTGGGTCGATCATGTTTTGTTGTGAGGTCTCAGGCGAATCAGTTGCCGCACCAGTTGCCGGACCAGGCGGTCTCGGTCTCTTCGCCCCTTTTGTGGGGCTATGCTGTGGCCCTTGTGACGCTGACATGGGGAACCCATCAGCGTGGCACTGCTTAGAAAGCATCAGGCCTTCGGACAAAAACGGAGGAGTTCGTTGATACCCTGTCTCCTTCGCGAGCTAGGGAATAACGTCAGAGCGGAGCACCACGCTATCCGCTCGCAGGGCATGGCGTGTCGCCTGGACCGCCGCGGCGGCACGCTGAGCAACAGCTCCGCACCGTAGCGAGCATCGTCGAAGCTCTGGGCTTCTGGCCATCGTCGGAGCTCTGGTGCTCCAGCCAGCCAACCCTGAGATCTGACGTCTCGAGCAGATTGCAGCATAGTTTAGACTCGGGCCTGTCCCTCTCCAGGGGGGATACTCAAAAACAGTCAAATTTAGTATGGGGGCGATTTTTCTTAGTATCTTACCATTTGGGTTTTTTTCTAAAGTATGTTTGACCATTTGGGGGTACTCTGTGGGTATCTTTCAATTTTCGTCCGACTTGAACTTGAACATGGTTCGAAAAGTCGGCCCGAGCCGACTTGAACTTGAACTGTGGGGGGACGGGCCCGACTTGAACATGGTTCGAAACATCGGCCCGAGCCCGGCCCTGGGCCCGAGCCTTCTGCTGCACTGCCCGGCCGGATCGAGCCGTGAGGGCCCTGCAGGGCCCGGAGTCGGGCGCATGCGCCCCTGTGTGGGAGAGTCCAGCTCTGCCCAGCCTCGAACATGTCCCTATCCCTAAGATCGACATGCCAAAAAGCGATGACAACCTCAGGGATGCCAAACAAACGATGACATGCCAAAAAACGATGACATGCCTATCCCTAAGATGGATCGATGGATCCCTATCCCTAAGATCGACATGCCAAAAAACGATGACATGCCAAAAAACGATGAAAACATGCCAAAAAACGATGCCCAAAAAAACGTGCCCTCAAAAAATAAGGGAAACCCTAAGATTGGCAGCGTGATGAGGAGATGCCCAGCACAGGGGCAGGGATATGTTCCAGGCTGGTACACCTCTGTCATGAAAGGCTTTTTCGACTGCTGCCGTTCTTCGGCTCGCGCCGGAGCGGCCGCGGGGTGCCCTAGCTTGCCTTGGAGGTCTCTGGAGCTACCTGGGTGTACCCAGATCTACTCCGATGCATCTCTGGATTGGCCTCGATGTATCTGCATCTGCCTGGAGTTATCTGGCTCGTCACCACCCACCAAACCAGCCCAACCCAACCCGAAGGCCTCAACTTGCCGCCCATCTCCAGTGGGGGGGGCGGTCCGGGAACATCGAAAAACACACACATGGAGCCTATACTCCACACACACACACACACACACACACACACACACACACACACACACACACACACACGAAAGTCGGGTCTTCGGGTTGGGTTGGGGTTGTCCGGTAGGTAGTCAGCTCGGTCCCCACGAGTTGATGGGCGAGAAGTCGTCAAGCCCTCAGGGACTCTGGACAGCCACCCCAGGAGAGCCGCCGGAGCCGGCGCCCAGCTGAGCCTCGCCGCGGCCGCCGACGGCGCGGAGACCTTGGCTCGGATCAGGCTCGAGAGGGAGGAACAGCCTCAGGAGGGAAGAAGACACACAGACACAATTAATTGTCGACCCCCGCAAAATATAGGAAAATATAGGAAGTGGGGGAGATGACAGAAACCCAGAAAGTGTGTGAAACTATGGGGAACCTTTTGTATGTGTGTGTATGTTTACGTGTGTGTCACTGGGCCCCTTCAAAGCCACCCCGACGCCCGTGGCTGGGGATCCCACAGAGTCAGGAGGAGAAAAAACACACAGACACAAGTCATCGTCGATTCCCAAGAGAATATGGGAAAATATGGGCAGGGGTGGGGAAGACAGAAACCGTGAAAATACGGGGAGTAATTTTTATGTTTGGGTATTTATTTGTGTGTCCCTGGGCCCCTTCAAAGCCACCCCGACGCCCGTGGCTGGGGCTCCCACAGAGTCAGGAGGAGAAAGAACACCCAGAGACAATGCATCGTCGATTCCCCAGAAAATATAGCAAAATATGGGCAGTGGGGGGGAAGGCAGTAACCCTGAAAATATGGGGAGCCTTTTTCTTTGTGTGTATTTCTTTGTGTGTCCCAGGGCCCCTTCACAGAGGCCCCGAGAGGCCCAGAGATAGTGATTCGGTGCCTCGAACACATCGAGGCACAGCTTTTCCATTGTCTTCGGTCTCTCGGGGTCTTTGCAGGGCCTCGGGACCGTCAAAACTCAAGAGGGGAAACACTAATCGTCGACCCCCAGGAACATATGGGAACATCTGGGAAGTGGGGGGGAAGACGAAAACCCAGAACATATGCCAAAATATGGGGGATTCGGTTTTTTGTGTCTATATATTTGTGTGTCCCAGGACCCCTTCAAAAACACGGCTCGGGATGAAGAACCGGCCCCAGGGAAGTGGTCCAGGGCTCGACCTAAACGGTGCTTTGGCCATTTCGTGGGCCTTTTTCGGCAAGACTTCGTGCTGCTGCAGAGGCGGGTCGGAGGCACAGCGAGGGAAACCGAAAACAAAACGAAGACGAAAAGCACTGCTTTGGTCGAGCCCTGAATCAGGAGGGGGAAAAAACACATAGACACAATTCCTCGTCGATCCCCAGGGAAATACGAGAAAATCTGAGAAGTGGTGGGGAAGACAGAAACCCAGAACATATGGAAACATATGGGGAATCCTTTTATTTGTGTCTATTTATTTAATCGCTTCGCTCATTCCGCCGGACCTGGAGCCCTCTGACTCTTTAGGGCCTCTTGGGGGCCTCTTGGAGGGCTTCGGGGGCGGCGCCCACGAGGAAAACCATCTCTGACCCGAGTCTGCCGGGACCTTGCCGGGATACTTTTCGTCCGGGGACCCCCAGGGGCGGCCCCGCGCGCGCGCGCGAAGCAGAAGCACTATCTAGCAGTTACCGGAGATCTTAGCACGCCTCTGGCCCGTTGGGCCGGCGAATTTGCGTGTCCCAGGGCACCTTCACTGAAGAGGTCGAGAGGGGAAAAAACACGTAGACACAATTCATCGTCGACCCCCAGGAAAATACAGGAAAATCTGGGAGGTGGTGGGGAAGACAGAAACCCAGAACATATGGAAACAGATGGGGGGAATCCTTTTTACTTGTGTCTATGTATTTGCGTGTCCCAGGGCCCCTTCACTGAAGAGGTCGAGAGGGTCGGGGGCCAGCGTCTCGAAAGCAGCGGGGCGCCAGCTGCTCGGGCCCCTCTGGCGGCCAGTAGCCGGCGGGGAGGCCGGCCTGCTGCCCCGCGGCCCAGCCGCGGGGGCCCCCCGGGCGGTGCGGTGACCGCGCCGCACGGTGAAGCCGCGGGCATTTGGGGTCTCTATTAGGCCTTTTAGATATCGGGGCCCTCCTCCCCCTCCTCCTCCTCCTCCTCCTCCTCCTCCTCCTCCTCCTCCTGCCTCCGCGACCCTCGGCGGCGGTGCTTCTGTCGGGGGCGGCGAAGAGGGGGGGGATGACTAGGAGGGGGTGGATATCATGGCGTGGGCAGAAGATATCTCCCCAGATGTCATGGCGCCTCTTCCTGTTCCATTGCGTCCCTGGCCCCCCCCCCTGGGCCGCGCACAGGCCGCCGGTCACGATTTGCGCCCCCCCCCTCTTGGACACCCCCCTCTTGGCCGACCCCGAGGGTCTCTGGGCCTCTTCGATAGGGTCCGGGTGGATGGGGTCGGAGGGTCCGCGCCGCATCGCCGATGCATCGGCGGTGCGGCCGATGCGGAGCCCGTGTCTCTCCGCGCCGACGGTGCCGATGCCTCGCCGACGCCTCGCCGATGCCTCGCCGATGCATCGGCGAGGCATGCGCGGTGCGGCGCGGTCCTTCGACCCTGTCTATTCGGACCCCCTCCGGGGGGCCTCCAGGGTCACCGCAGAGCTCTAGGACTCGGGGCGTTCGCCGAGGACCTCTCGGGCGGCCGGGGCCTCCGAGGCGTCAAGATCCGGCCGCGCGGTGGGGTCGTCGGGGGATTCCGAGGTCACCACGCGGTCCGTCACCACGCGGCGATGGGGCCCTTAAAAAATTTGCGTTTGCGAAAGAAACAGCCTCGGTCGTTTTCACGCCGGTCGTTGGAAGTATGTATTTTTGGATGCCCAGGCCCTGATCTACTTTAGACGCCTTCCTACTTCAAGAGTCGAGCGGTTTTCCTTCTTTCAGCCCTGCCCTGTTCGATCCCTTCCTGTGGTGTTCTTCAAACGGCTTCGCTTGTCGGGGAACGTTCAGTCGCTTCGCTCATTCCGCTGGCCAATCTTGCATCCCTGTTGTTCTGTTGGCTTGCTCGTGGCAAGCGAGAGAGGGAAAGAGGAGCAGGAGGAGGAGGAGGAGGAGGCCCGTCGATAGCTTCTTGGGGCACTCCTGGGGTCAAAGCGTGTCGTCGCCATGACGCCTCTTTGGCAGGCATCTCTGGGGGTCGTCTGGGAGGCCTCTTGGGGCTTTTGCTACAGGGCCTCGCTGAGCGTGGCTCTTCGGCCCTCGCTGCAGGCGGCGTGGCCGGCAGGAGGTGGAGCCGCTGCCGACCGTCGCGCACCTGAAGGAGGCGGGCCGCGGATACCTGCCCGGGTCGCCCATGCGGCACGCGCAGGAGCAGAGCTCTCCTTCGCGGGCGGCGTATCGATCCCCATTGCTGGGCAAGTGTTCCACCGCGGGCGGGGGAGAAGGGAGGATGGGGAGATGCTCCTCCTCCTCCTCCTCCTCCTCCTCCTCCTCCTCCTCCTCCTCCTCCTCGCTCTCTTGCCTGTGGTAGTGGTTGTGGAGCATGGCCCACAGCACCCATCTCTGAGTTCCGCCGGAGAAAGCTGGCCGCCCGGAAGAGGTCGGGGGCAGCGATAGGGGGGGGGGGAATAGGCACACGGGGGGGAAGCCTCGACCCGCAATCACCCGTGGATCGCCTACATGGGGCCCGATTGCCCCAGCCTCCGCAGGAGGGCGCGGATTCGCTGCTTGGGGCCTATCTCCGATCTATCGGCGACGTATCGCCGATTGCGGGTCGATGCATCCCCCCCCCGATGCCAGTCCCCCCCTCTGCCGTCGCCCTTCCAGAGGAGGGGAACTCGGGGATATATACACACTTGCGGGGGCTATCCGGATGCACCCCATTTCGAGGATGGACGCACGGTGAATCGAGGCTCTGGGTTCGAGAAGATTTTTCCCTTTTTCTCCGTCTCCGGGGGGCCGTTGACAGATCTTCCGTTGACAGAACCCGTTGACAGATTTTGCCCAACACGTTGACAGATTTTCCCGGCGCCCATTTTGCTCAGCTCAGACCCCGTGGCCGCTCCCACGAGCAGCCCGTCTCTACGAACCGGACGTTTCTCGCACGATGAGTGCAGTTCCGTAGCGATATCGTCCCTGGCGGACTCAGGCCGCACCCCAATAGGCCGCGGAGCGGGAGGCAGAGACTCTAGACCTCCCAGATGGTGTCGGAGCAGATGGGGGGGTCGAAGGACCTCGCCGCGTCGCCGATGCATCGGCCATGTTGCTCGTCGTTGGTGGAGACCGATGCTCTCCACGCCGACGTTGCCGATGCATCGCCGGCGCCCCCGATGCATCGCCAAATGTATCGGCGATGCATCGCCGAGGCGGCTTGATCCTCCTGATTACCCCATCTGCTCCGACGCTTGCGACCTCGGCAGCAGGCCCGCCGCTCCTCCCGCTGCCCCTGCCTCCTCCCCCTGCCTCCTCCTCCCCCTGCCTCCTCCTCCGCCTCCTCCTCCTCCTCCTCCTCGTCCTCCCCCTCCTCCTCCTCCTCCTCCTCCTCCCCCTCCTCCTCCCCCTCCTCCTCCTCCACCTCCTCCTCCTCCTCCTCCTCCTGCTCCTCCTCCTCCTCCTCCTCCTGCTGCTCCTCCTCCTCCCCCTCCTCCTCCTGCTCCTCCTCCTCCTCCGCCTCCTCCTCCTCCTCCTCCTCCTCCTCCTCCTCCTCCTCCTCCCCCCTCCTCCTCCCTCCTCCTCTCCTCCTCCTCCTCCTCCTCCTCCTCCTCCTCCTCCTCTCCTCCTCCTCCTCCTCCTCCCCCTGCCTCCTCCCCTCCTCCTCCTCCTCCATCCTCCTCCTCCTCCCTCTCCTCCTCCTCCCCCTCCTCCCCCTCCCCCTCCTCTGACTGGCACGTGCGTGCGCTTTCCAGCATATTCCAGCATGTCCCATCTAAGAGGCCTCTGGAGGCGCGGGCCCCATGCGGCCGGAGCAGCAGCAGCCCTCTCCCAGTGGGAGCACCATGGGCAGCGCCAGGGGGGGGGGGGTGCTTGGCATCGCGCTCGGGCGCTTGCCCTGGATCCTCTGGCACAGAGCGCACACGAAAGCGACGAACGCGCATGGGGAATGGACGCCCGAGCGATGGCAAGAATAGGATCAAAACGTTTTCGAATGGTTTCTAGATGCCGATGCCGCAGCTCGTCCTGGAGAGCCCTCGCCAGCACGGCTGGATTCTCCTCGAAAGTCTGGTCAGTCAGAATGCACTTCAAGAGAGGTCCGGGGAGTGGCGGCATCGGTCGATTTTTTGTTCGGGCTGCCTTCGGATCTGGGCTTGTGCCATGTTTTCGCCCCCAGCGTGCTGTCTTTGGGTCCAGGGACCCTATCCCGGATCGGTCTGGCTCGCAGATGGGGTCTGTAGGGTTCGGGTCCTGATTTCTTAGGATGATGGCGATATGCTCGCATTGTCACGGGATTTCGAAAGTGTTCGAAAGTTTTCGAAGCCTCACCTGGAGGCTCGAAAGTCGTCGAGAGTAGCCGGAGTTGGTTTGCGTCGGGCTCCCGGGGTGGTTTCCATCAGTTTCGCCCCGTCGTGAGCGTTGCGGAGGTGCCGAGGAAGTCCCGAACGGCCGCCAGAGAGCCGAGCTGTGGCTCCTTGGCATCGCTCGGACGTGCGCTTTCTTTCCCAACCTCCTGTTTTGGGTTCTCTTTTGAATGCAACACTGGGCTGTCCAAGTCTCCTCCTCCGCCTCCTCCTCCGTTGACCATCCTTCCTCCTCGTGCCTCCTTCTTCCCGTCGTCCCGCTCCCCTGTGTGGTTTCCCGCCCGTCTTCTTTTTAGTGTTCGCGCCCTTCTGTTGTTCGAATCTGCGCAACTGTCGACACTTTCGTGGGCTCCTGGGAGGTCCAGCAGGGTGGAGGTCCACGCGGATCTGCCGAGACCTCGTGGCTCCCTGGGGAGTTGCGAAGTGCGCAATTCTCAATACTTTCGTGGGCTCCCGGGAGGTCCAGCGGGGTGGAGGTGTCCGCGGATCTGGGGGGGGGTGCAAAGTGCGCGTCTCTCATCATGTTCGTTTGTCTTGAGCGGTCTTTCGTACGGCTAACCCGTGCTAGGAAATGGGTTGGGTACGTCTCCTGATGAATTCACGGCGAGGACCACCGAGGAGCATCCTGGATCCTCCTGCAACCAAAACCAGACGTCCGTATGCGGGACCAGCCGTGGCACCTCCGGTGCAGGACCAGCGCACACAGCCGAAAAGCCGGACGCCCGAGCGAGGGCAAGGCCCGAAAGCGACGCGGCAACGTGCAGGAGGGAAACCAAGCACACACACACACACATAATCGATCGTCATGGGAAAAATGTGGGAAGTGGGGGGGGGGGAAGACGGATACTCCAGATGTCGTACTAAAAGGGAGGGGGGTCTCATTTCGGGGGGGGGTCTCTTCCAGGCTATCTTGGAGGGCCTGGGGGGGTCTGGGGACGATGCTCTGGAGGGTTCTCCCACGGGGGGGGGGTCTGAAGTGGCCTGTCTTGGAGGGTCCAGACCCCCTCCCTTTTATTACGGTAGGTTTGCGTCGTGTCGACCCGCGGCGACCCCAGCGCGGGCGTTCAAGGTTGAACGCCGCGGGCGACCCAGAATCGATCGATGTGGAACGATTGGACGTTTCGACAACGGCCGATCGTTCAAGGTTGAACGATCCAGCGCGGTGTCAGAAACCAACGCTGCGGTCGGCACGACACGAACCTGCCGTACGAACTCTGGAGTACCCAGAACGTGCGGGAAGTATGATCCGGGGAGGGGTGCGGCGGCGCCCACTCGCCCCTTTGCTCGCCGTCCAGGCCGGGTGTTGCCAGACGTGGCCCTGGCCCCAGGTGCCCTCGGGATGTCCAAGAAAGGCCTCCACGGCCTCCAGAGCACCCCCTCGGGCCCGTCCCTCGACAGGAGGAATATTCAAAAATAGTTATAAAAAAGCCTAGGATTATTTTTTGGAATATTTTTGACCATTTTGGAGCATTGTTAGAGTACTTGTTATTTTTCGTCGAAGATCCCACTGCAGGGGGGCATGCCCGACCTGACACAAGGCCCAGAGGGCCCAGGGGCTCCAGACTTGAGCGAGAAGTTGGGGATGCACCTTGGGCCAGGGGCGCCGAACAGCAAGCCCCGAGGAGGGTTCAGATTTGCCATCGGGGGCCCATCGCCGATCCATCGGCGATGTCACCGCAGGTTCCAGGTCAATTCGGCGGCGAGCGAGGGGGGGAAATGAGAAGGAGAAGGCTTCAAAAGGCGGCGGAGCTTCTCAGAGGGCCTCCGAGTTGTTTCTGTCCCCGGGGAAAGCTTAAAAACCTTCTCAGATGGCCGGGAACTTCCGAGCCCTCTGAGAAGGCCTTCTCCTTCTTCCTTCCTCCCTGGGAGCGCTGCCAATCGATCTCCCCCATCTGGGCAGATCCCCCGCCACCCCGTCGTTGCTCCTCGGAGGTGTCAGCGTCTCGATCCCGCGAAGGCGATGCCCTCTTGGGAGCGCCCGATCTCGCCGACCCTGGGAGCCCTGGTTCCGCAACGGCGGTCCAGGATGGCAGAGGTTGTCTCAGGGGTGGAAAAGTACACAGACACAATTCATCGTCGACTCCCAGGAAAATAGGGGCAAATGTGGGAAGAGGGGGGAAATCGGGTAAGAATATAAGAAAATATGGGAAGAGGGGGCAAATATAGGAAGAGGGGGATCACATGGGAAAATAGAGGCAAATGTGGGGAAATATGGGCAAAGATGGGAAAATATTAGAAAATATGGGCAAACTATGGAAAACCCCAAAAATATAGGAAAATTGAGGAATCCTGTTATGTCTGTGTATTCTTTTGTGTGTCCTTGGGCCCCTGGATTGCTGTCCCTCCGCGCCGACCGGCTTCGGCCCTCCGGGTGCCAGGGTGCTGCCCGGGGTGGCCGCGGCCCGTGCGCGCTCACGGCCGGCTTCTCTCTCCAGGGGGGGCCTCCCCCATCCTCCTCCTCCTCCTCCTCCTCCTCCTCCTCCTCCTCCTCCGCCTCCTCCGCCTCCTCCTCCTCCGCCTCCTCCGCCTCCTCCCTCTCCCTCATCCTCCTCCTCATCCTCCTCCTCCTCCTCCTCCTCCCACCTCCTCCCCTCCTCCCCCTTCGCCGCCTCTTCCTCGTCGAGTCTGGGCCTCCCGAGCGGGGCTGGAGCACTGGGCTGGAGGATCGCGCCGCGTCGACGATGCCCTCCTCCTCCTCCTCCTCCTCCTCCTCCTCCTCCTCCTCCCTCCTCTCTCCTCTCCTCCTCCTCCTCCTCCTCCTCCTTGTCCTCCTCCTCCTCCTCCTCCTCCTCCTCCTCCTCCTCCTCCTCCTCCTGCTCCTCCGCTGGAGGTCGGCGATGTGGCTCGGTGTGGAGCCCACTGTGTTTGCTTCACGCCGGCGGCGCCAGTGCATCGCCGACGTCGCCGGTGCATCGCGGGTGCATCGCCGATGCATCGCCGATGCATCGCCGATGCATCGGCGGTGCATCGGCGGTGCATCGGCGATGCGGCGCGATCCTCCGGCCACATCTGCCCGGACCCCATTCTTTACGAGGCCTCTATTAGGGGAACAAGAAGTGACATAAACATAAGAACTCGAGTCCGCGCGGATTTCTCGGATCGGCGCTGGACCCCCCTCCCTGGCGCGCGGAGCGCGCCAGGGGCGGCGCCGCAGGCGCCGCCAGGGGGGCCCCAGCGCGGATGCGAGAAATCCGCGCGGACCTCCGAGCGATTATGTTTGGGTCACTTTTTGCTCCCCGATCTTCAGGAGCGAAAGAAGGACGTACATGTACATGAATCCACGCTGGTTTCGAGAGCACGCGTTGCACAAATGTTCGTATCACGCGGCCGGTCTCGCGAATCGAGGGGCCGTGTTCATGTACATAGCTGGGCGCGTACGTCCTTTGTGGGCTCCCTATATCTATTGAGGGGCCTCCCAAAAACGGCGCGGGGAGAGGGGGGGGCACCTCGGTCCAGGGCCACCTGGGGCATCCTCCGAGCGGGCTCGCTCTCTTCGGCGCCCTCGGCGGCAGCTTCGCGCGCCGCGGTGGCGCGGCAGCCACCGCCGCCCCCCCAGCACTGGCGAGCGCCAGCAGCGGCCCAGAGTCTTTGGCGTCGCTCGGACGTGTGCATTTTTCCTTCGGCGAGGACAATCGAGGAGCATCCTTGATCACTTGTCGAAAAAAACACGTACGAAACCGAAAAAAGCACAGGGAATGGACGTCCGAGCGATGGCGAGAGTCCGCCGATGTCGAGCGACCTTCGGCATCGGAAAGCCGCGAGCGTGAAGGCTGGAGCGATCTGAGCGGTCTTGGAAACAAACGTTGAGTCGGGCGTGTCCCTCTGCAGGAAGAATACTCGAGGATAGTGGAACAACAGTCTGGGGACGATCTTTCTATTATTTTTGACCATGTCGGAATGTCTTTGACTATTTCATGCGTTCCTTCCAAGATCCGCCTGTGGGAGGACATGCCCGACCCAAAACCGACGCCGAGGTCGTCACGACGGCAACCTGCCGCACAGGACACGGCTTCGGGCTGCTCACAGACCGCCCCCCCCCAGGTGGTGCTGGCGGGCCTCCACGGGCCCCCGAGCAGTCCCAGAGTGGCTCCGGGTGGTCTCCTCTCCTCGGCCATGGGGCGCGGAGCCCCCTCTGGGGCGCCGCCGGAGGCGGCGCCAGGGCGTTGAGAGACCGCCCAGGACTGCTCGGGGGGCCCGTTGAGGCCGGCTGGGGCTGCTCGGGGCGCCTGTTGAGGCCAGCTGGGGCTGATTACGTGGGGGGGGGGGGGCTGTCTGCGAGCAGCCCGAGGCCCTTACCGGCTGCACGTCCGCGCCGCGCGGCAGCGTGCGAAGGCGAGCACGCAGAGCCTGAGCCCCCCCCCCCCGAGGAGCGGCGGTGGGTGCAGTTCGACAAGGAGGCGGCGCAG